AAAGAGACAGGTTTCAAAATTAGGCAATAATTCTTGCTGTATTGAACTTTTCAAACTGAATTATATTTGTAAAATCTGATTATAGGGCAGAAAGGTATAAATTCCTCTCTCTTTAAGGCTGTGAATTCCTGATAAATGGAGACACCCCAAAGATTACATGATTGAATTAGGCAACTCCAGCCCAAAGAGCAGTGTACCCCTATTGCTGGAATGCTTTCTGGTGGAGGAGCAGCCAACTGTGAGCTGCACTGAGACCCTTGTACTTAGTTCCAAGCAGCCAAACCAATTTTCCCATTTGGGCACCTGGAGGCATCCTTTCCTAGTTATCTGTCTTGGTATTGATGTGAGTTCCCCTGTTTATGAGAGTAGCCGACTCAAATAGCCCTCTAACAATGAGGGGAAACTGGATGCCTTGAGTCTGGTGCTAGATTTTCAAGGTTCCCCACTTCCCAGACTTACCCAACAGCAGCCTTTGATGTCTCACAGACATGTATACATTGGGTCTTGCAAATGCACACAGAAATCCCAAAGAAAATGCTATTTATTGTTATTTTTTCTAGTATAGATCTTTTAAGTTGAACAAAAAGACATATCTCCAGATGATTGTGAATAAAGGCCTCAACAAATGTGTAACTACAGATAACAATTACCAGGAAACTCACAGTGGGAAAGAGCATGGTCAAATGTTCAGGCCAAAGGACTTAGGATGTATGAATTTGGACAGACTAAACAACTGCTGGTTTTGACCTAAATAAATGACCCAAGACATATGGTAACAAAAGCTCTAACAAAGGAATTGGGCTACAGCTATCAATCGCTTAAACCTCTTCCCCTCTAACCCATGAACTTGTAACATTAGAAACTTTTCATAATGGAGCATGTAGTGTGAGGAAGGGAAGATAAGGTGGCATTTTCACCCAAGTAGAGCATGTGCTAATTGATTAAGTGTTGAGAATTCTAGTTCATTGCCTCACATTATTGGTTGGCTATGTTTTCCAAGTTGAAGAAACATATGTGAAAGAGTGAACATATTTCAAGAATCTTAGAGAATTTAGAGTCAACTTCTAGTTATTCAAAGGTTGATCCTCATTTTTAGAAAACATTTAGTCTTAGCTTTTCTTCCTTCCAACACTTACTTCATCTTCTTCCAACCACCCCAGGCCCCCATCCCCCATCTCTTTCTGAACCTTTCCACAGCTCATTAGGCAATTCAAAAAAAGTTGGGTAAATAATGTAACAGGGAAAAAATAATGGGTGAAATTCGAATTTACGAAATTGACTCAGTATCCTAGATCTGGAAATGATAGAGTAGAAAAAAATTGAAAGTCTTGGTCAAATATATTATTTTGGTTATTGTTAGTCATCAATCAATCAATAAATCAATCACTATTTGCCTATCAACACATTGAATCACGTAATCAGTTTTTTGTAATTATAAATATTTTTAAGATCTTAAGAATGTGCTTTTGGTTGTCAAATGTGCAAATTTGCCTCAAATGATCAGAAGAGGTAATATCTATTGAATGAATCAAGATAATAAAAATGAATCAAGGTAATAAAAATATACCTGTCCTGCGGTGTCATACAGTCCGAGCAAGTGTTGCTTGCCTCCCACTGTCACGGTAACTAGAAAAGAAGAGAAGAGGAGAGTCCATAAATACAAGCTTTGATCAGTAGTCTTCACATTTCTCCTTGCCAACATCTCCCTGGGCAGGAAGGATAAGCATCTGCCTCATCCATGTATATTCTAAAACAAGTCGACAGCATGATTTCCAAATGAAAGGCAACCCTGGGCTGCAGTGAGAGTGGATGGGCTGAGCCAAGTTCAAATTTCTCAAATGAAGTGAGTATTATTGGTGCCACTAAAGGCCCTCTGTAGGCTGTTCATTGATCCTTATTAGGCTTTAGAATATCGAGCTTCTGAAGGAAAAGATTGCTGGACCTTTTCTTGGTTAGGTTATTTTCTTCCTTTGTTTGGTTTGAGCCACCTTTCAGGTACAGAATTGTGTAAGCAATTTCCTTGTTAGAAATGTTTTTAATCTGCCTTTGAAATGTTAATAAAACCCTGAAAACAAAGAATATTAACCTACTTGCATATTTTGTTATCTATGAGGCAAAGCTAATAATGAAACAAGTCAGACTGAATATTTATTTTTAAAAGCTTTTCTTTTTCAAATATTCCTGTGCTTTTGCTCAATTGATTCATTACAGTTTTGAAACTTAGTTGCAGGAGAACATGTACAGGTTTGGTTTCACATACTCAAGGATATATATAGCATGGAAAGTGGAGAATTTGATGTACCCAGCAGGCTTACTGCTTTGCCAAGCGATTGTGTCTGAAAGTGAGAAGTAAAAGAGGGATACCAACTACTCTGTACATGTCTGGAAATGAAATCTCTACTTGAAACTAAACTGAGATTGAACAGATTGAACGCAAGAGTAAGACAATTCTCTTGGTGAGTGGAAAGAGTAAATTTAAATTCCTCCCCAAATTTAATCTCTTTTTGGAAAAAGGAAGTAAAACATGAAGAAGAATGTGTTTTTAGTAGTTGATTAAAAAATGTGCAAGTGCAATGTAAAGCTCATTTTCGATTCCTCCTACCATTAGCTGTTAAGGAATTAAAGGATAAACTGAATAGCAACCTTTTATAACCATATCTCCAACATACGTCAGCCAAATTCTCTAGTCTGCTGCTCAGAGTTGCTGATTCAAAAATGATTTTACTTTTGTTTTCAGGTTCATGGGCTACATGTATGCAAAGTGCTTCTTAATGGCTCATTCTTTGAGAAGCACTTGTTTAAAAGCACAGCCTCCCCAGATACTTGGAACATAATTTCTGTCTACTCAGATCAACATGAATTCAGCTTGATAACATAGCTACAGTTACTCAGATGAGGTTTTAAATGTATATTTTTAAGTGGGGAACCCGACTCCATCCAACCCTGGCAACAACACTGACAGAAGAAGGGCATTTAAACATTTTTACTTCCTTTCCAACGTCAGGCTAGCCACGGAAATGAAGGTGAGACGATGTGGCCCAGAGCTCTTTGTCCTGTTGTTTTCCTCTTCCTGTATGCTTCTGCTTGAGTCTAATCAGATGTTCCTGAAATCTGTCTAAATGGTTTCCTTTGTGACCAATTCACTACCTAGTCACTGATCAGGAATGAAGGGAATAAATTCAGCCATTATACATAGAATTTCCTGCCTCTAGCGATCAACATGAATTCAGCTTGATAACATAGCTACAGCTACTCAGATGAGGTTTTAAATGTGTATTTTTAAGTGGGGAACCCGACTCCATCCAACCCTGGCAACAACACTGACAGAAGAAGGGCATTTAAACATTTTTACTTCCTTTCCAACGTCAGGCTAGCCACGGAAATGAAGGTGAGACCATGTGGCCCAGAGCTCTTTGTTCTGTTGTTTTCCTCTTCCTGTATGCTTCTGCTTGAGTCTAATCAGATATTCCTGAAATCTGTCTAAATGGTTTCCTTTGTGACCAATTCACTACCTAGTCACTGATCAGGAATGAAGGGAATAAATTCAGCCATTATACATAGAATTTCCTGCCTCTAGCGATCAACATGAATTCAGCTTGATAACATAGCTACAGCCACTCAGATGAGCTTTTAAATGTGTATTTTTAAGTGAGGAACCCGATTCCATCTAACCCTGGCAACCCAGTACATGCAGATTATGGGCAGCTGTTCTGGAGACTCCGCTGGATTGTGCCATGACCTACAGGCCCAGGGCCATCTATGGAGTGATCGCTAGAAGCTGAGTCACCCTCACGCCTCCACTGGGCAATGCAAATATTTCTAAGAAATGGATCTGACCTTTGTCAGTGGAGCCCTGAAACTACTGCTTGAGTTTTGTCAGAGAACAACCATTCCCTCCAGCCTGCTTGTCCTGAGGCCTCACCCTTTTCTTCTTTGGCAGCCGTGACTACAGAAAACTGTACCAGGCCTGAGACAAGCGCCAGCCCTGGAAGGGTGGGCTGTGGGTTGAGTCTGGGCACAGCCTTCTCTTCCCTTCGGCTTTGCGTTCCTCCAGGGTTTACTGGCTTCCCGGATTGCTCAGTCCTGGGAGCAGAAGGACCAGACACACTTTCAATCTTGTCGTAGGGTGTGGAGAGGAGGGGTTTATTAGCAAAGCCTGGGCACGACACAACGTAGTAAACGCTACACCAGCGCGCCGTGGAGGGGTGTGGCTGGGGTATCACTGTGCGTGCGCGTGCGTGCGTGTGCGTGCCGCGGGGGGGCCTGGGAACACGCAGCGGGGTCCTACTGCGTCTGTGCACACGCATGGCTGGGGCGTGGTTAGAGAAGGCTTCCAGGAGAACGTGTCTGAGCTGAGTCCCAAGGATGGCCAAAAGTTACCCAAGGTGCATTGGCAGATGGGGAAAAAGGTGTTTCACAGCTACCCAGTGGATGCAGGGGTCAGGGCAAAGGTGGTTCACAAGCTACGTGGGGTGCGTTGGGGGCAGGATAAGGGTGGCTCATGAGCTACCAGGGGTTCATGGGGAGATGGGGCAAAAGAGGTGGACATTCAGGGTTAGGCTGCCCTAATTCACTAATTTGGACTTTATTCTGAAGGCTTTGTTAAGCTGTGAAAGTCCCGAATTCTCTCTCCGCCCTTCCCCTCTCC